ATTTCTGTCGATGGAGAACGATTGTCGACACCGTTACACGCACCGAAAACAATAACATCTCATGATCTGCTTGCCGGCTACGGATGAACAAATTCGCCCACGTATTTCCTACCAAACCGATAATTGAAAATCAGTGTCCCATATATCGATTCGTAGGATCGTCCATCCTCCCATACTCTTTCACCACCCTTCAAACCCTTCATGCTTCACGTTGAACTCCCAATCGGTTGCCTTGTTCAATCTCTTCTCTGTATTTTCTTTCTTCCTTCCTAACTGTTTGACACTAATTATTGTTGAAAATTTTCAAGAATTTTATATTCTTTGTTAAAATTTTAATTTACACGAGTGACGTTATTGTAATATCACAAAAAAGTTTATATCATTACCTAAATTAAATTGCAATAGCAGATATGTAATATAATACCTAAATATGTGAAATACCAAAATCTGTACATATCTATATTTCGTTAGTGATTATTTGATAAAAAAAATTAAAATATGTAAATAAGTATGTCAAGAATGACATATAAGTACCTATCTAGTTAAGAAGTATTCGCGGAGTTAAATTATTTTTAAAATCGAATCACACTCGTTTAAGCAAAAAGAAATGGAACATGGGTGAAATTATAATACGATATTCTTACACGAAAGTAATTTTGTATGTGAAAATTGTCTTGTATCGTATATTACCTAACTAAATACTACGAAGAACTAAGATATATGTACATATATAGTTGCATTTATAAAACTTTATCGATTGTATGACAACAGACAGAAAAGTAATTCGATAAAGTGTTTTGCACTTGACCGACCACCTCCGTCGAAAAGCATTTCAATCATCGTGAGTATCGAAGTGACCATCATCGAGTGTGCGTTACACGCGAACGAATCAGATGCACGGTGATTAAATTTAATTTCCTGTCCACCATGGAATACATTTTGAAATGTTACGATCCTTGAAGTTTTGTTTGACGTTATATTCTCAGTTAATCGAATGAATCAAATCGAGAATTAACGATTCGTATAATCGTTCTTCCAAATTCTTCAAAAGTATGATCCTAACTATTTTATAACTACGCTCGGTAGCCGCCCTTTGCAAACAATTTTCCTTCTACTTTGAGTCCACTCGACTTAAGTTCAAGGAGAAAATAGAAGTCCTTTAACGGCTCTAAAGACATCGAAAAAGTACGTGACGAGAAAATTAAAATGACCAGGTTTAAGAGAACGATCGTTGAAAACGATTAAGAGCTTTGTCAGTAGTTCATGAATCTTATCTCCTGTAAGATTCTACCTTCTATAAAACGTATTATTAATTTTTTAACAAGATTTACTTTACTAAAAGATACACGACATATTTTTCTTGTTATATATTATAGAAGCGACAATAGGAAACCAAGAAATGGACTGACGAAGAATAAGAGAAGGGGGAAAAGTAAACAATAAAAAAGAAAAAAAGAAGATAAAAAAAAAACAAAGAAAGAAATAGAGAAAGAGAAAGGGCAGGGGAACACGATGAAACAGTTGGGGTTACGAGAAAAGTAGAAAACTCGGGAGAAACGGAAGTAACTGTTCAAGCGGAAGTTCCAATTGCTAGCGAGATCTATATTTAATAAGACAGGAGAGTTATACTTTCTGCCTCTCGCGTCGTAACACAGTTCGAGTGCAAAAGTTTCACCCCCCGGAATTATCTCCAGTACCTTCCCATCCTCTCGCTACCCTTCCAAGAGATAATTAAATATATCCGCGCACGAAAATTCTCAAATGGATTTTCCCCGGTGAGGCCATCCGACACGATAAGGGATTTTCCTTCCTGCGAACTGAAAAGCGAAAGAGAGGGCCTGGAAAAAGTTTTTCATCTTACCTACTTACCCTTTTCTTTCTTTCTCTCTCTCTCTCTCTCTCTTTTGCTTTTCTATTTTCTCTTTATTCAGTTTCTTTTATTGGTTTCGTTCATTTCGGCCCGCACCCTTATCTGATTTTACAGAACAATCTCACGGATATATTCGAAAGTAATATCAATATACAGCCATGTAATACATATATTTTTTTTATAAGTTTTTCTTTTACTTATTATAGATATATCTAATATAGAAAATGTATATCATATTATGTTCTTTAAAGATATCAGTAAAGTCTGATTTTTTATCGTATAGAATTCAGCAAGAAAAAATTATAAATGAGTAAAAAAAGAAAAAGAAATCTGAATTTTTTGAAATCAACAGTAAGCTAAGTCTCGAGAGGAATCATTAAGCTCAAATTTTTTTAATTTTCTTTTTTTTTACTCGTCGCCCTCTCACAATTAGGTTATTCACGTGAACTTCTGTTATCACGAACGAAGGACGATAATTATTATGCCGCATAGCACGACTTGGCTTGCGCAACAGCACTGCAACATCGAGCTTTCCCAAGGGCTACATTCGCTTCCACTTAATCTACCGAATCGTCAAACTGCGATAAAGAAAAAGTTTTCGTGCGGTCGATCGTGTGTCGCGTAAAGAACAACGGTTCTTTTAAGTTCGATGCGTGCATGAATGTTCTTAAATAATATCTTGACCATGCATAATTACTTTAATCCGGCCACTGTAATTTAATGATGACTATCGTAATAAGAAATACTTACTTTCTATCTGTAAAGATATATACATGTATGTACATATATATATTATATAAAGATTGTGATCATAAAATTTTTTGAGGAATTTGGATGAGTAAACTTCTACCCTCTCAATTTACCTTGAAATAAATAAATAAATAAAATTATCTTCAAAATACAGTTCGTTTTCTTTTTTATTAAGTATTAATTTTGTTAAAATTGTTTGTCTCATGGTTATATATAGATTCTAACTTCAAGACTGTATAAAATTTTCAACGAAAGGATTAAGGAATACAACAGCTCGGTCGGATGAATTTTTAATGTTTTTACTAACCAAGAAACTTGAGATAACAAAATAAAATCAGTTTTGATTTGTTGTACATAGATAATATTATATTATAAAAGGGGAATGATTCAATCTTCATGGAACGTTTGTGCGTATCTACGATCACATTCTTCTTTCAATTTAATGAACAAATTTGGAGGGTGTCGTTTAAATTATTTTTATCTTATTTAATACATCAACATGTTCAACAAATAGAATCTTACATTTTTTTTTTGTAATCAGACAACCGGTGAAATGTATTTTCATCGTATTATCATCAAGCTTATGCACGAATGACAAGGTACGAGGGTGAAAAATTTATGTTTTTCGCATGAAACGAACAGCCGATTACAAAGGCGTGTGTAAACGTGACGTAAGATTTAAAGAAAAAAAGGGTGAAGAAGAGTAAGGGAGAGGAAGGAAGAGAGAAAGGGAGAGAGAGAGAGAGAGATAGGGAAAGAGAGAGAAAAAGGATTAGAAAAAAAGGTAGTTGTAGTGTGCAACAAGGAGGAATAATTTGTCACGAAAAGAAGAGAGATGAAAGAAGAAGGCTAGAGTCAAAAGGTAATAAAGTGAAATGGAAATATTATTCCATGCAATTCTTATGCCTTTTTCTTCTATCGCTACTTTCTTCTTGCCACATTTTTACGACTTTTCTTACCCTTTTTCTGTTCCTTCTTTTTATTGCGCATCAATAAACCACGGGAATGATTTACGTTAGAAACGCAGACGTTATAATGTGGCCATCGACGTGACCGACAAATTATCTGATCATAGTAGTTGTACTATTCGAAGACGTTATGCGATGTTAACTCGTGAGGTTTCACAGAAAGAATCGAATAAGAAATATAACAAGTGTTTCTTTCTTTTTTCTTTTTCTGTTATTTTTATTTTTCATCTCTTTTTTTTTTCATTCGTTAGGGACGATCGGCAAGTTTACGATTTAATTTCGACACTCTCAACACACGCTCTTTCTTCGAGATAAACGAGATTGCATTTTGGCACGCGAACGGCAAACTGGTTTCGTGTCGATAATTATAGTTTATCGCGACGAGAGAACATACGTTCGGTCTTTCTCTTTCTTTCCCTTTCCTCTCCCCCTATTTCCATCTATTCTCTCTTTCTCTCTGTCTTTTTTTCCGGAAGCTCGATATTCATTTGCATAAAAAGGAAGAAAAGAGGGAGAGAGAGAGAGAGAGAAAAACGAGAGTTCGGTTTCGCCTTCTTGGAAGATCGATGAATCGCGCCTTAAGTATAATTTTTTCGATAATGGAAAAGGGTAGAAAAGGGTTTCGGAGAAGAAGAAAAAAATTTGAGAGATAAAATAAAATAATAATTAGAATAATTTGCGAACATGAGATAGATAGAGAAAGATAGAGAAAGAGAGTGAAGAGAGAACGAGGTTAGAAAAATTCTTCGTTTCGAGAATGATGATCGCAAAAATTTATTTATCTCGGTGGTTCAGCCTCGCGAGTTCAGTCCAGAGCAGAGCTTCAGCTACGAGAGTGGCACCGTAATATAGAGTGTGCTTTATGGCCGGTTGCACCGGTGGCGAACGTTTCGTAATTAATTGCAGCACCCAGGAGTCTTCTTTTATCGACTTCCGTTTCGCGAGTGGCTCGTAAAAATCCGTAAGGGCGTGCGATATAGTTTGCTCCGATTCTTTCTTTTTTACTCTATCCCCACTCTTTCTTTCTCTTTTTCTCTCTTTTGACCTTTTTCCTTCCCTTCAATTTTTCCCCGTCGCTGTTTTACCAGTTTTTTCAAATTTTCTTTTTATTATACGTTGCATCGAAAGTCAAAAGACGTTGACACTAGTAATAAACTTTATTTAATATATATTTATTCATATAAYAATAATACAAAATAATATATATGATTATTTTTTATAGAAAACGTTTAATGTTTTATTTTTAATATTAACCATAAGTCTTTTTCAAATATCGAGACAAATCCTCTTTAAAAATTTCTTATACTTAATCGGATTAAATTAAAGATTAAAATATGATAAAGCTATGGCGCGAAAAATAAGATAAAAATAATTGACAAATGATTACAGAGACATTCTTTCTATTGTTTCAGGATCTGATATCAAAAAGGGTGTTGCTATATTGAATTGCCTCTACGCTCGTCAACTTTGTTTCGAGGATCCATCCTGTAGTGCTATTCTTGAAATTATTCCACGTGTCTGTGGTCCAGAATTAGGTGAGTATTAAGAATTCCTAAGGTTACTTCCTTTTAATATATTATATTTTGTGTTAATTGTATTATTTTTTTTTTTATCATTATGAAGTAGTTATTATTGAAAAGGCAAACTTTTGAATGAAGCATCCAAAATTAAACTTAATTTGTGAACAGACAGAAAGAGAGCGGTGATTCGGTCGATTTCATATTTTCTATCTCGTTTTTACGTTTCAACGTAACGAGAAGGATGCAAATGAGAATGGCCGAAGAGACGGTCGACGACCCCGTTTATCCACCCTTTTCTTTTTTTTTTGCTTCTCCTTCGTTCGTTTCTATTTTTTCGTTGATTCGTTCTCTCCAGCTTGATGGAAATCGCGTTATGCTTTCGCAACAGACGACTCTGACGAAAATTGTAAATTATTCCTAGCTACCAGTACCTGTTAAACGAATCCTTCTGTTATTCCTACAGTTTGCTTCTTTTTTTTTTCTTCTTAGGTGAAAATTTTCCTTTCTTTCTTTTTTACTATGCAAGATTATACTTCAACGATTAAGTGTGACATTTAACCGATTTATTTTCATTTTCATTAACTAATAAAAGAAATCCGTTAGTCGTTTTGGCAATTAGTATGGTTAATTAACTTTTTCTTTTAACCTATGTAAAATCGAATTCTTGTTTTACTTCTTGTGACAAAGCATTGTACAGTTCCTAAAATAAATATAAAAACGAAATGATTGAAATAAACGAATTGTAAAATTCTATGGTATAATTTTCGTATTATCTGTCATGTAAATTATTTTTCAATTATTTCAATTCTTACATTCAATAGTTATATTCGAGCAATTAAATACGAATGTAAAGAGAATGTAAAATGATATTTTTCCGTTTAATTGTATGTATTATAGTTAAAAACAAAACGGCAAACGTGATATTCTGCATCGACTTCGAAATATATAAATTTAGAACAAATTATAAATTAATATATTTCAAGAAATCAATATTCTAGAGTAGTAAATAGAGAAGAGATTGAGCGTCACATTGAGTTGCTTCCTATTTTGTATTTCAAAAAAGCAGAGAGAAAAGAAGTGTAGTAGTTTAATTGTATTTTCCAAATTAAAGTTGAATCGAAACATTAAAGTTAAATCTTGAGCTTTTATCGAATCATTAAGAAATCTGAAAATAATGATAATAAAAGAGTTGCATTTTTTATTAGATTTTTTTGTCCATTGAATATTCTGTCATTATTTAGTGTTTTCCACGTTAAAAAGTTTCTTATTGAAAAAAGATCCATAAAATATCGAACTGACAAATATCTTCATCTATTTCGGAAAGGAAGTAGGTTCCTTCTCTTGAGAGTTGCACACAAACGTGTTCATTTCATAGTCAAGGTAAAAGTGATTTTGCTTGAATGTCGAAAACGGTCGATAGGAATGGCTGACGATTACGGAGCGTCGAAATTTCGGCGGCTGGATGCCTTCATCTTCTAATCTGTCCGCTAATTGTCTTTGCGAATTGCTACCCCGGAGATGTGCAATCTCTGTTCTAGATGGCTCTTATTGATCAAGTTCTGGCCAATTGCCGTCCAATTAGGCGAACGAGGAGGTTACAATTATTGTCAAAATAAAAAGCTCCTCGTGCACTTTACGTTACTGTTCCTAGTGTCTATTCGAAATGCATTAAAAGGCATCCTTGTCGTGTAAAATCTGGAATGGGTGAATGGACGAACATGGTAGCACTTACGAATGTACAACACATACGGAGTTCGTACATATACATATATATATAAATATATATACATATATGTATATATACATTGAGCTTTCGCTATCGAGTAAAACGCTTTATTTTCCACGCGATTGCCGTCGCGGATTAACCAGAGCGTTTTCTCTTGCCAAGCCTGGGGAACAGAACTGCGAAAAAGCCGCGGTGGTTCATTGGGTCACAAAGTATTTCAGAACCAAATTAACCATTCTCATTTCGGCCAAACAACTAAACCGTCATATGCCATTTAACGCTGGCAAAATCTTGATTTTTTCAACGGTTCTTTATAAATATGACTTTTTGGAAAAAGAGAAAACTAAAGTTTTTATCCGAATATCGTAATATTAGTTTTTCTTGAATTAATTATTATATTGATCTTTTTCTTACATTTCACAATTCGTGGCTCGTTTCGGTACAAATATTTCTATAGAGAATCATTTCGCGAAAACGCATTCGATCGATTATCGTTCGTTTGTTTGGTCATATTATATCTCAGCCTCGTTAAGGGTTTCTAGATCGACCACTAACCGAGCGCGATAATAACGAAGCTCGTAACTTTCTATCCGATTATTACGTTAGCACGTGCCGCATCGTAATCAAGTTATCTCAGAAATTTCACACTCGTTTACGCCCCTTCGGTATCATCGATATTAATAACGTCGAGAACCTTTTCTACCAACTCCGAAACGATGACAACGTCGATGTATCGCAAACTTCTCAATGTATAATAACTCAAGATCGGTATATATATGCGTACATAAGTATGAATAGGATACATCTATCAATCCGTAACAATTCTTCGAAACTTCAATTCGTCCTATTTTCTAATGCATTATCCCCCTTTCGTCGTGAAAAGAAGTTCGAGAATGGATCGAAAAGTATTGCATAAATTCCCCTACTCCTCGGTTAGTTTCTTTTGTTATATGTATACACGTTCCAATGCAATACTTACCAGCGACCACTTTCGATAGTACTTCTTGCTGCAACTCGCTTAGGTATTTTCCGAGTAGCCAAACGATTTGCCTCTTTGTTGGAGTTGCTCGATCCGTGCATCTGACAGCCTGGTAACTGTCGCTTGGTAAGAAGGGAGAGTGGGAGAGAGAGAAAGAGAGAGAGAGCTATGTGACGTTTAGGAAAGCGTACGTCGATTTAGGATTTCCAATGCGTGTTATGTCGACACATATATACATGTGTAGGTGTTGCTATGTTAAGCTTCGAATATACAGAGGCAGATCTTATAGGAGACCCACGGAAATGCTTCAGAGTCCTGCATACATTCTCAAAGATGCTTTATAGATGTATTCTGTTCTATATGTACGTACCCTTATGTGTGTACTTGTATATAGGTATATAAATATATGTACCTATATAAGTAGATACGTGTTGACGGTGCGATCGAGGAAAATCTTTTCATGGTCGGCTATCGTGTGAGATCGAGGCTCTAGGTTGCCTATGATGATAGGAAGGCCAGACGGTGGCGTTCCAAGTATGCAACTATCCGAAGTAATAACGTGTCGAGCATCGTACGCCATAGTATGGCTAGACTCCCTTATTAAAAGGCTTAGCTGGCATTTTGGACTTGACACTACTTATGGTCGTTCGATTATATTAGAAATAACGATCGTGTTTCTGAATCGCTGAGATAACTTCGATAACAAAAAAATAAAAGAAAAGGAAAATATAATTGGTAATGAACGAAGTGTATATAACAGTAATGTCTTTTGCAAGTATTCTACTTCGATTCAATATCACGAAAAAAGAGATTATAAATATATACATAGATATTTGAAAAAATTAATTATCGTTTTGTATTATTAAATAATTTGAGTTATTTGATAAAGTCTATTTTTATTTAAATTTTTAGTCAACTTTATCATCGAAGTAAAATTTACATATATGAGTGCATAAAAAAGAAAAGAAAAGAAAAATAGAAAAAAGTAGATCGTGTTAACATTCGAATTAATTCTGATTCATGGGAGACGATACTAATTCCTACGTCGTCGTTTCGAAGCTTATCTCTTAGCTAGGGTGCAAAGGGTACGCAAAGCGTTCGTTTCGATCGATGCTTGATGGTTATCGATGGTCGATGGTCAACGATACCTTAAGCTAAATTTATAAGCGACATCGCGACAAGCTCTATACTACTTTTCTTTTGATCTTCTACACGATACACTCGAGAAACCATGGTAAAAGTTTCTTAAAGCTGACCGAATCGATTTATTGATGTAAATATTCTCGGGATAATATATTATCATCTTCGATTTATATAGTCCTTTGCAATTTTTTTTAACATTCTTTCTTTTTTCTTAATGATCAATTTAACAAGTATATTCGATAAACAATTAGAAATGTCGCGATATGGTGTGTTTTAGATTATTTACATTACTGTTCAAATGTAGCACGTGCAAAATACAATGGCAATGGGATTACACGAAAGCAAGGTTTACGCTTCTACACGATATTCGGTCATTCCGATTAACGGTAAAACCGAACTGGCACAGTAGTCGGCTGTCCTACGTACTAATGCATTCATTAAGTGAATTGGCTCCAACAATCGTACCTAAACCGATGATTAATAGTGGATTTTGAATTATTCCTATAACCAAAACGATACCTACTGCAACGAATCGCGTCCTTTACTCTGTAACACTTTGGCATATTAACAATCACGTATCGATTTAAGTGAATTTAACCCTTTTGATATGAGCTTTGTATACCACTTCCCATTGTGAACGATAAATGACCCCCTTAGAAAAAACATATATCTTAATACGGAATGAAATTTTAGCCAATTTGATAATAAATATTTTCTTTTATTTATATATAAATAGTCCACATTTTATACGTTTTTACCGCATTTATTAAAAATTACAGGAAGGTTAATTGTTAATAAAACAACGTTAAATAATATCCGGCGCTCGTACACAAAGATTATCAAATTGATGCCAGGTAAATCCGGCGTTTGTAGTGAAAGAGTTAATAAGGGTCTTATAGATATTGAAATTATTTTGTTATTCTTGTTAATACTTTTTTAAACACCGCTGTTTAAAATAAAATTGACAATAATAGATCTTGAAAGGGAAAACTTTATACCATAGTCTATATGGTTGGATCACATGAATTTTGAATAGGCTTTCAACTTTGAAATGGTACACCGTTGAGGGAATGAGAAAAAGAGAAAGGACATACCATAAGACTTGGGAAAGAAAAAGTTTTCTTACATTTCAGACAGCTGGTCCACGTTTGAAACATACCGAGACAT